CGGGAGAGGCCACAACAGTGAGCCCGCGTACCGCAAAAAAAAAAAAAAGTTGGGATTATATTAAACATCGACAAGTGAAATATTTTATAATTTTTTAATGATGAAAACAATGATCTCATCTTTTCTTACTAGGGTAACCATTATAAAAATGTTTTCGATCTATATGAAAACGTTGCTTGTCTTGAACCTAGAAGTAGGCCAGCCAACAGTAGGCGACAGGAGCATTCTCTTCTCTCACTTAACCTTTTACAATCTGATCACCTCTTCCACCGCTGTTTTACCTTAGTTGCCAAGCAACTCAACACAAAATGATTAAATATAGCAGTCAGATACCTTGTAATATCTATAGCTTTCCTGCTTTTAATTAATCCTGATTTTATTTTTAATTGTTCTCCTTATATTTAATCTTGTAAGTGCTCTCAAATTCTTTTTGACTCCAGGTTATATACAGAATAGATTGTGTGTATATGTGTGTGTGTGTGTGTGTGTGTGTGTGTGTGTGTGTATAGTAAACAACCATACCTTTTACATTTGTTTATCGCCTGATAACATTATTTTTTAATGTTTTGTATCTTGTCTTCCCAACCTGCTTCTAAGCTCTTGAAGGCAGGAAATCATCTCTGACTTTCAAAACTAACCTTAAAGGACTGCTTTGAAAGTTAAATAAATAGATATAGGAAACAGAGTTGTATTTGGCATGAAGGAAGCGCTAATGTTAGCAGCATTATGTTTTATTATGTAGCACAGTAGACTGTTCAATAGAACATGTATTACCTACAGGAGGGGTTAGGTAGGAAAAGATTTTTCTATTCCCTAATACCTAAAAATAATTGAGGTTTGGACATTTCTATTTCAACTCAGAGCCAAAGGAGTTGAAATGTTAACTGCTTTCTAAATATGTCTAATGTTTGGGAAAATCCAGATGTGACCTGTTCCATCCAAATATTAGGTAATGCTGGGATATAATTCTGGAGGAGAAAGCAACTTCAAAGAAATCTTTAGGCTAAGTAGTGGATTACTGAATGGAGAAGCTATGAAAAACATTAATTTCTTCCCAAGGAGACTCAAGAGTTAGGTGCCCAAAAAGAGAAACTTCCTAAAAAAAAGAAAGAAAAAAAAAGAAAAAGAAACTTCCTTTTTATATATAACATGTTCCTGAATCTACTGTTTGGCAGTCTTGAAAATCATTTTGTGTCTTCTAACATGTTAGCTGTAGGCTACTAGCCTGTGGTGAGAAAAATGCCTTCCATTTGTATCTACTTCGACATATATGCACTCACCTTCATGATCATTATCTCATTTAATCCATTTAAATCAACCATTAAGGTAGGGTATTGATAAAATGGTCATTGTTATAAATTCTTAAGCATAGATATGATGTAATAATTCACTATTTATTCCAGCTTTGATATGCAGCCTCTTTGCCTTGTTCTATATAGCCTATTTTAATTCAGTGCATAATCTTATTCTTCAAATTCAGAGTTTTTTCTACCATCAAATACACATTTGTTGGCTCCATATACCCTATGCTAGAAGTAAAAGAGATAAAAAGGAAAGCCTGCTCAGTGAATGATCCTTGCCCTTGAGGAACCTGAAGTCTTTTGATGAGTGCTAAAAGAAATATTCATTAAATACAGGCCCAAAGTTAATGCATGCTCAAGTGTATGATTGAGATTGTATTATAGATGTCCAGAGAAGGGAGGGATCAGTTTATCCTGACCTACCTAAGGGAAATTTGGTGGAGAATGTGAGATTTCAGTTTATTCTTTTTTTTTTTTTTGTGGTGTGTGGGCCTCTCACTGTTGTGGCCTCTCCCGTTGCGGAGCACAGACTTCGGATGCTCAGGCTCAGCGGCCATGGCTCACGGGCCCAGCTGCTCCGCGGCATGTGGGATCTTCCCGGACCGGGGCACGAACCTGTGTCCCCTGCATCGGCAGGCGGACTCTCAACCACTGCCCCACCAGGGAAGCCCTCAGTTTATTCTTAAAGGGTGAGTAGGATTCGGAAACATAGGGGAGGAATCTGGTAAGGTATTTCAAGTAGGGAAGAGTCTGAACAAAAATATGGCCTTTGGAGAAAAGAGAGAGGAGTGATTTCACATAGAGAAGGTGGTTTGGAGGTGGAAGGAGAGAATAGCGCTGGCTATCTAAGGTGATCTCTGATTGAACTGGGATATTGTATAGTTTGTATTTTTTTAGCGTAAGGAAAAAAAGCTTAAAAATATTTTAAAACTCTCTTAAACTGAGTTACCTTCTAAAGGTATGGCACCTATTTCCCCAAACCATCATTATAATGGAATTTAACTATATATAAAGATATGTGTTATAATAGACAGTATAAAGCTATACAATAAGGATATAGATATATTTATAAATAGATAGAGATATTACTGAGTAATGGAGAGAACTATGGGTATTCCTTGTACAGTGTGAGTTGAGAAGGATTCTTACAGCCCAAATTATCACCCACTTCTCTAATGTGTAATACATACCCAATCTAATAAGTTTAGCCTGATTAGGAAGCTTACGAAAAGGACAGGTGTCCAGGGCTTCCCTGGTGGCGTGGTGGTTGAGAGTCTGCCTGCGGATGCAGGGAACGCGGGTTCATGCCCCGGTCCGGGAAGATCCACATGCCGCGGAGCGGCTGAGCTCGTGAGCTATGGCCGCTGGGCCTGCGCGTCCGGAGCCTGTGCTCCGCAACAGGAGAGGCCACAACAGTGAGAGGCCCGCGTACTGCAAAAAAAACACCAAAAAACAAAACCAAAAAAGGACAGGTGTCCATCTTCTAGTTTTTCAAGCCAAGTATTTGTATTAAGCAGACATCTGTTTAGTAATTGAAATAAACTAAATACCAATTTTAAGTGGATACCTTTTTAACTTTAAGGGAAAAAACCCCAAGAGAATTTAAGAAAAAGGCTGTTTAAGATACAGCTAACTTCTCAGGGAATGAGCAGATTCTACTTAGAATAACTGATGGTCGTTTTGGGATGAGCTAGTATAGTGAATTATGATTGGTAAGATTATGTGCAGTATGTATGCCGGATGGTGCTTCACTCTCACCCGCAATAGAACGAGGTTTAATAAACTTCTGGGTAAAGATAACTGTTTAACAAATTACTTGGTATTGAAAGTAGTTGCAAATTTAATGGTCTTTTTTTAAAAGGATACATAAAAATGTTCCCACAAAAGAACAGTTCGAATAAAGGTGTTCTTGAATCAAAAACTTTATGGAAGTGATCATCAAAAATGTCATGTACTCTGTCAATATTACATGAACTCTGATGGCTATGTTAGGATTGTAGACCTTCGCTTTCATGTAGCAGAGAGCCATTATTGATTTTGGAACATAGAGTGTTATGCAAATTCTTTGTAAGTGTGGCACTACCACAGAAGAAGTTTCTGCTGGCATAGCCATAAATGGGTTGCAGCAAATTCAAAATTTTTTTAGAATCTTTATATTTTTACTTCAAAAGTCATGTGAATTTTGTTGTTCTTTATAATATATCTATGTTTGTTTTTTTGTAAATATTATGTTTTAAGTTATTGAACAAAATTGACTAATCAAAAGGATATGCTGTATTTGTCTTTTTTGTGTGAGTGGGCTTAGGATATCTGACCTGCTATATTTTATCAGTACCTTATCTAGCTCAGCTTTTTAAGGACAGCACTTGAATATAGCTGCAAAGTAATTTCACTTGGCTTCCTGCCCCAGAGGAATTAAAAAGCATGGGCATCCTTGGTTAGGTTATCATCTTTATGAAGATTTCTACTTCTATCTTTATATAAAGCAGGCATTGGTTTTGAGTGAAGGAATACTGTTGTATACTATGAGCTCAATATCAGTATTGGAATACATCATTTTTAAAAATTTAATCTCAGTAGTTCAAGAAACAAATAATTGAGCTGAATAACTGAAGGTCCTTGTTTATAGATTTGAAATTCAGAAGTGAAATTTCATTAGTTTTTGAATGTTTTAAACAAAAAGATTTAATACATTTGTTAGAATCAAATGATTATAATGTGCCCATATTTTTGTACTCAGTAGAATATAAAACAATAAACATTTACTGAATGCATGTTGTGTGGCAGGTACTGTGCTAGATAATGAGAGGGCAGAGGGAGGGGGAGAGAGAGAGAAAGAAAGGGAGAACACTTGTTTCCTGTCTTTGGGGGCCTCATAATCTCAGAGTATAATACATGTAAAATATAACTGCCATATAGCACAGTAAATACTACAATAGAGATAGCACCTAAGATACATTTGGGTCAATGTGGATTAACCAACCAATTTAGCTTCAGTGCCATAGAGGAAGCTTCTGAGAGTGGAATATGCTTATGCTGAAACTTAATAAATGGGGAGAGTTCTCAGGGTGGAAATGTGGGAAAAGGGCATTCCAGGCAGAGGAAACAGTGTAATATCTTCAGGAAATTGCAGAGAGCATGGTTTAACTAAAGTGAAGGTGCATGCTAGATAGTGTTGAGAGATGACTCTTGGCCGTAGGCAGCTTCATTTTGTATACAATCCTAAGGAGTTTGAACGTCATTCTGTAATTTTTGGAGGATCATTGAAAAGTATTGAGTATGATCAGAATGATTCTCATTTTAGCAAGATTTTAGCTTTTGAAGTAGTTTAGAGGATAAATCAGGAATCGCAGGTTATGGCCCCAGGCAAGAGAAGCAGTTAGGGTGTCATTGCTGTAGTCTAAATGATGAACGTGAGGGCCGTTAAAGTGGCAGAGGGAATGACAAGAAAAGGATAGATTCCAGATAAGTTAAAGAAATGGAAACAATAACATTTAATGATTGATTGTGGGTAGTGAGAGAGGGGGAAGATAGAAATTCATGTCTGGCGTGAATAATGGGATTAGATGGGTAAATTTCTCACTAGATTTTTGAGAGAATTTTTACTTTATGTATGTGAATAGCTTCTACAAAATTGGTAAACATGAAGGTAACTTCTGAGTAGGTCATTTCTAAGTTTCTCTTTATTTTTATTTACAGATGCCACTTCAAACGAACAACAAGAGCTTTTCTGTCAGAAGCTGCAGCAGTGTTGCATACTGTTTGATTTCATGGACTCTGTTTCAGACTTGAAGAGCAAAGAAGTTAAAAGAGCAACATTGAATGAACTGGTTGAGTATGTTTCAACTAATCGTGGTGTAATTGTTGAATCAGCGTATTCTGATATAGTAAAAATGGTAAGCCTCTAGACTTAAGTTCCTCAGATTTATATAAATTCAAGTAAGATCTGAGGTGTAATTATGATTTAATGAGACTGATTTTTAATAAATATACAATAATTAATGTGCTTAAAAGAATGTTTTTTTAAAATAGTCCATTTGAAAGATTATCCATCCATTCCAGTGATGGTGTCATTGCTTTATAATACTTTGGGAATTCAATAGCCACAATGGCTGTTGGCTACCACATTGGATAGTGCAGATCTAGAGCTTAGGAGAAAGATATAAGCTCAAGATCATACAGATTGATAGATAACTAACATGCAGCTGAATAGTTGCGGAGAAAGAACATCTAAAGGGGGAAGAAAAGACCAATGAAAAACTATGGGGCTCTCAGCATCTCAGCAGTGGATAAGGGCGTCAGGTCTAAAATAAATCTTATTTAGGACATTTTGATATCATATATGTAGATTCTATAACACTGAATTTTAATTAAAATGTGGGACCTTTAAGAAGTTAAATGATGTAAACAAAAGTTTGAAATATCTGCTGTGAAAAGTATTGAAGTAAGGTTGTTTAGGATACTGTTTATTAATTATTTAACCATATTCTCCATCAAACTGTAGAAATTTGTTTCGGACTTGTGGTTTTTGTATTTTGGTGTATAACAAAATACAAAAAATTCATTTGGAATAATTAGAGTCACTGAGTATACAATTTAAGCTTAAATGTTGGTTATAGAAGGTTATAGCAAGTATAATCTAAGCTATAAACTATACAATTTAGTTGCCTTAATTTCTTTCCCTGTGCCTAATATATGTTCTGGGGGAAGAGCAAAATGTGCAGGAAAGTTAAATTTGACCCTAATATACTAGCTGAGTTTTCTTTCATCATATTGTACTAGAAGACCAATTAAAAGGACTTAGGACATTTTGGTTCATTTTTTTCTCTTTAGAAAACAAAGTAAAAGCCTTAAGATTTTTTTAAAGATTAGCTCTAGAGAGAACATTAATCAAAATGAAATTAGCTTCCTCAATTCCCCAGATAATTAAAAGAGACAGTTTGAGAATGTAAGTATTGATTATTGATAGACTTTGTATTTTGTTCTTTGTTTTGTGTTTGTCATTAAAAAATGTTCAGGGGGGAAATGCAATATTTCCACTTTATTGATTTCAAATGGTTTGTATTCAGGAATTTTGAAAATCCTAGGGAAGATATTTTTATCTCTCTAAAGTTGTTGCCTCAGATATTGAAAGTACTCAAATATTTGAGTAAGTTACTTTGTAATTTTCTATTTACTAATAAATTTTGAAATTTAATTTCTTTTCCCAAGTAAAAAGATGTGTGTGTTTTGTCCTTTTTTTTTTTTTTTTTTAACTTCTGGGTACTTAATTTCTAGATAAGAAGCCAACTCACCCACTTAGTTCCTTAAAGCTCTTCTGTGTATTTGCTGTATACAGTTAATTTTATTGGTGGCTACAAGGTTTAACTTTTTCTTTTACTACCAACAATAATAATTATGATTTCAAAGGCAAATTATGCCCTCCTGTGGGATATATTTCCTTTTCAAGTTCTATCTATGACTTTCTGCCACTCTGTGAAATTGGTATTTATCAAACTATTTATTGGCTCTGCCTTCATATACTGGCTTTGAGTTCTAGCAAATCAAATTCTGGATTATAACTTTCTAAGTCTTATGGTTATAGTAATTGACTGTTAGCAGTTATTTGGATTACCATAGATGCTACTTCATAAGAATGGTTGGGAATTTGCTTGCACCACCAAACAATGCTTGTCTCATCCTCTGTTCCCCAAATAATTTATCTTAAATGACCAACCCCTCAAAATTAGGGCCTTACATGTTTACTAAACCATTTGGTCTGTCAGTCTGTTCATCATTCTTCAACGAATTTTGAGTTGGGCTCACAATCCATCCTTTGCTAGAGAAAAAGGATATGTAGTTTACTTTGGTACTAAGACAGAGAATGTGAAAGATGAAGTTATAACCTAAAATGAAGACTCTGAAATGAAGAGTCTCAAAGCATATCCTTATTTCAGAGAGATTAATATTTTTTTTAAAAAATGCTCAGAGTTAATGAAATATAGTAAATTAAGTCATCATGGGGTATTATAACTATGTAGTGGCAGTGAATAACTATGTCTGTAATGACAGTGAAAGTGTTCTACCCCCATCCTCCTCTTCTTTAGCGTGGTGTGTATGTGTAAGAGATATTTTACCAAACTCTTGGGTTATAAGGTAAGTAAATGGCTGGGTTAGAATATGGGAGGAGTTGTGGAAAGATGAAAAGAATCAACTTAGAGATAGGGAGAGTTAGGAACTTTATGCTCCACCCTCCCAGTTCCCTCACATCCTCTTTTTTTTTTTTTTTTTTTTAAAGCAAAACTTGGAAAGAAAAACTTGTGATTTAAGGAAGAGGAGTCTAGAGGTAATCTGTATGAAGTTTGATATCTGTAGAAGTCAGAATTATGGGACAGAGAAAAGAGAGAAACAAATGGCTGCCTTCATATCTTGAGGAGATTTATAGGTTTTGAACTAAGCTTACAGCCACAACTTAACCTTCTTCTTAAATAAAGTTATCTTAAAAATATTTCATTCTGCATTTATTAATTCAATTAAGCAACAAAAACATATGTTTATGTTTATTTAGAACATGAATCTAAATTTATTTTTCTTTACAGATCAGTGCTAACATCTTCCGAACTCTTCCTCCAAGTGATAATCCAGATTTTGATCCAGAAGAGGATGAGCCCACACTTGAGGCCTCTTGGCCTCACATACAAGTATGGAACATAACTTTGTATTGACAGTTTTTACATTTATGATATTCTGCTGAAATCACAGAACTCCGTTTTAGACCTGAGTGTCTATTTTAAAGTACTTGACTTAATTTTTTTTTTTTTTTTTTTTTCGGTACGCGGGCCTCTCACTGTTTTGGCCTCTTCCGTTGCAGAGCACAGGCTCCAGACACGCAGGCTCAGCAGCCATGGCTCACGGGCCTAGCTGCTCTGTGGCATGTGGGATTTTCCTGGACCGGGGCACGAACCCGCGTCCCCTGCATCGGCAGGTGGACTCTTAACCACTGCGCCACCAGGGAAGCCCTAAAGTACTTGACTTTTAATATGTTTTCTTAATGTTTTCTTTTCTCAAAATATTGCTTTTCACTTTTTTTATTGTGGTAAAATACGCTTAACATTTACCATTTAAACCATTTTAAAGTGTATTCCGTAGCATTAAGTGCATTTTTAATGCTATGCAACCATCACTATTATCTATTTCCATAACCTTTTCATCACCCCAAATGGAAACCCCCTTGTCATTAACAGTCACTTCCCATTCTCCCACCCCCACAGCCCCTGGCAGCTTTTCATCCACATTCTGTCTCTATGGATTTGTTTGTCCTGGATATTTAATATAAATGGAGTCATATAATATGTGGCCTTTTGTGTTTGGGTTCTTTCACTTAACATAATATTTTCAGGGTTTATCAATATTGTAACATGTATCAATATGTCATTCCTTTTAATGGCTGAATAATATTCCATTGTATGGACATACCACATTTTGTTTATCCATTAATCAGTAGATGGACATTTGGATGGTTTCTACCTTTTGGGTGTTGTGATTAGAGCTGTTAAGAATGTTACACATTCATGTACAAGTTTTTGTATAACATCTGTTTCCCATAGATTTTGATATGTTGTGTTTTTGTTTTCATTCATTTCAAAATATTTTTGATTTCCTCTGTGATTTATTTGGCCCATTAGTTATTTAGGAATGTGTTTAATTTCTACATATTTGTGACTCCCAGATTTCTTTCTGTTATTGATTTATAATTTTATTCCATTGTGGTTGTAGAATATACTTTGAAGTTTTCAATCCTTTTAAATTTATTGAGGCTTCTTTTTATGGTCTAGCATATGGTTTATCATGGAGAATGTTTCATGTGTACTTGAGAAGACCACGTATACTGTTGTTGTTGGGTGGAGTGTTGTGTTGAAATCTCTTGGATCTAGTTGGTTGTTTGTCTTCTGTTTCTTAGTTGATGTTCTGTCTAGTTCTATCCATTATTGAAAGTGAGATATTGAAGTCTCCAACTATTGTTGTTGAATTGTCTATTTCTCTCTTCAGTTCTGTCAGTTTTTGCTTCAGGAATTTTGGGGGCCCTATTGTTAGCTGCATATGTTTATAATTGTTTTATCTTCCTCTTGGATATGTCCCATATCATTATAACTAATAGTTTTTGTGTTAAAGTTCATTTTTTCTGATATTTACTGTCTAACTGCCGCTGTCTAACTCTCTTTTGGTTACTGTTTGCATGATATGTCTTTTCCATACATTTACTTCTTATCTGTTTGTTTCTTTGAATGTAAATTGTGTTTTTTGGGAATTCCCTTGTGGTCCAGTGGTTAGGACTCTCCACTTTCACTGCTGAGGGCCTGGGTTCAGTCCCTGGTCAGGGAACTAAGATCCTGCAAGCTGCACAGTGTGGCAAATAAATAAATAAATAAATAGTGTTTCTTGTAAGCAGCATGTAGTTGGAACCTGTTTTTTGTTTGTTTGTTTGTTTTCTTTTAATCAATTTTGACAGTCTCTACCTTTTGAGCAGTGTTTAATCCATTTACATTTGATGTAGTTACTGATAAGGTAGGATTTATGTCTTCCATTTTGCTGTTTTATGTCTTCTATCTTTTTTGTTCCTCTATTCCTCCATTATTACCTTTTGTATTAAATAGGTATTTTCTAGTGTACCATTTTAATTCCCTTGTTTCTTTAACTATAGTTTTTTGAGTTACTTTCTTAGTAGTTACCCTAGGGATTACAATTAGCATCTTAAAACGATCTAGTTTGGTTGAATACTAACTTAATTTTAGTAGTATACAAAATTTTGGTCCAGTATACCTCCATTCCCTCCCCCTTCCTTTGTGGCATTACTGTCATACAAATTCGATCTTTATGCAGATATAAAATAGCATCTTATTGCACTTTGCAGATATTGCATTTTTTACAAATTGAAGGTTTGTGGCAATCCTGTGTTGAACAAGTCTATCAGAACCATTTTCCAACAGCATTTGCTTACTTCATGTCTCAGTGTCACATTTTGATAATTCTTGGAATACTTCAGACTTTTACATTGTTATATTTTTTTATGGTGATCAGTGATCTTTGATGTTATTACTGCAAAAAGATTACAACTTCCTGAAGACTCAGATGATGGTTAGCATTTTTTAGCAATAAAGATTTTTTAATTAAGGTATGTACACTGTTTTTCTAAACATAATGCTATTGCATACTTAAGAGACTATAGTGTACACATAACTTTTATATGCATTGGGAAACCAAAAAAAATCATGTGACTTGCTTTAGTGCAATATTCGCTTTATTATAGTGGTCTGGAACCAAACCTGCAATATCTCCAACATATGCTTATATGTTGTACACCCATCAACACAGTTTTGTAATTATTGCTTTATGTGGTTGTCTTGTAAAGCAGGAGAACAAGAGTTATAAATAAAAGTATATTTATACTGTCTTTTATATTTACCTATGTAGTTACCTTTACCTCTTTATTTCTTCCAGTGGATTCAAGTTATATATGGTGTCCTTTCATTTAAGCCTGAAGGATTCCTTTTAGTATTTCCTGTAAGGCACAATAGTATTTCCTATTTGTCTGTTGATCTGGGAATCTCTTAATTTTCCCTTCATTTTTGAAGGAGAGTTTTGCTGGATATAGAATTCTTGGCTAACTGCCTTTTTCCTTCAACACTTTGAAGGTGTCATCCTATTGGTGCTCTGGTGTCCATGGTTTTCTTGTGACAAGTCAGTTATTAATCATATTTAGGATCTGATGTATGTGATGTTATTTATTACTTGCTGCTTTGAAAATTTTCTTTGTCTTTAACTTTCTGTCTGTTTGATTATGATGTCTCTAGATATGCATCTCTTTGACTATTCTAGTTGGACTTCAGTGAGCTCCACTTAATAGTTCATTGTATAAATTAATACTTTTCATCAAATTTGGGTTGTTTTTAGCTATTTCTTCAGCTATTTTTCTTCATCTTTCTCCTCTCCTTCTGAGACTCCCATTATGTATATCTTGGTATGATTGATGGTATCCCACAGGTCTCTGAAGCTCTGTTCATTTTGTGTTCAATCTTTCTTTCTACACCTCGAACTAGATAATCTCTATTGACCTTTCTTCTGCCAGCTCAAACTGTTTTTCATTGTTTTTTGTGAGACAGCAAATTTACTGAAGTCCTCACTCTGCCATTGCAAAAGTCCATCTCTGTAGCACATCTTTTTAGTTGAGACTGAGGGAGGGATAGTCTCCTTGCCCTAACGCCATTGTGTGACAAGTCACTCCTCATAATTATTGGAAAATTGGTAATAAAAATTTATTATATAGATTGGTTCAAGATGGCAGAGTAGAAGGATGTGGTCTCACTCCCTCTTGCAAGAGCACTGGAATCAAAGCTAACTGCTGAACAATCATCAACAGGAAGACACTGGAACTCACCAAAAAAGATACCCCACATCCAAAGACAAAGGAGAAGCCGCAATGAGACGGTAGGAGGGGCACAATCACAATAAAATCAAATACCATACTGCTGGGTGGGTGACTCACAAACTGGAGAACAATTATACCACAGGAGTCCAACCACTGGAGTGAAGGTTCTGAGCCCCACGTCAGGCTTCCCAACCTGGGGGTCCGGCAACGGGAGGAGGAATTCCTAGAGAATCAGACGTTGAAGCCTAGCAGGATTTCATTGCAGGACTTCGACAAGACTAGGGGAAACAGAGACTCCACTCTTGGAGGGCACACACAAAGTAGTGTGTGCATTGGGACCCAGGGGAAGGAGCAGTGGCCCCATAGGAGACTGAACCAGACCTACCTGCTAGTGTTGGAGGGTCTCCTGCAGAGGCCAGGGGTGGCTGTGTCTCACCATGAGGACAAGGACACTGGCAGCAGAAGTTCTTGGAAGTACTCCTTGGCATGAACCCTCCCAGTGTCTGCCATTAACCCCACCAAAGAGCCCAGGTAGGCTCCAGTGTTGGGTCTCCTCAGGCCAAACAACCAGCAAGGAGGGAACCCAGCCCCACCCATCAGCAGACAAGTAGATTAAAGTTTTACTGAGCTCTGCCCACCGGAGCAACAGCCAGCTCTACCCACCACCAGTCCCTCCCTTCAGGAAACTTGCACAAACCTCTTAGATAGCCTCATCCACCAGAGGGCAGAAAGCAGAAGCAGGAAGAACTACAATTCTGCAGGCTGTGGAACAAAAAACACATTCACAGAAAGATAGACAAGATGAAAAGGCAGAGAGCTATGTACCAGATGAAGAAGAAGATAAAATCCCAGAAAAACAACTAAATGAAGTGGAGATAGGCAACCTTCCAGAAAAGGAATTCAGAATAATGATAGTGAAGATGATCCAGGACCTCAGAAAAACAATGGAGGCAAAGATCAAGAAGATGCAAGAAATATTTAACAAAGACCTAGAAGAATTGAAGAACAAACACATAGAAGAATTAAAAAACAGACAAACAGAGATGAACAATACAATAACTGAAATGAAAACTACACTAGAAGGAATCAATAGCAGAATAACTGAGGCAGAAGAACAGATAAGTGACGTGGAAGACAGAATGGTGGAATTCACTGCTGTGGAACAGACTAAAGAGAAAAGAATGAAAAGAAATGAAGACAGCCTACGAGACCTCTGGGACAACATTAAACGCAACAACATTCGCATTATAGGGGTCCCAGAAGAAGAGAGAAAGG